GTCAGAGGTATAGATAATGAATAGAAGGTGAAAATAAATATTCGATGACTAAAATTATAAAACGAGTCTAGTACATGAAGATAATAATAAATTAGCAAATATTTTTCAAATCATAGAAATATAGTGATAGAGCGGTGTTTATTATTCTTTATCTTGTATTTTAAGTACATCAAAAAGTATAAAAAATATAAATAGTGTAATATATTGTTTATTACAATTCAATTTAATGTTGTTAAATAGTTTTAAAGCTTTCTTTCTTGTTCTCTGACGAGACAAGCTGCTTCCGCAATAATTGTTTGTGACCTGTTGATTTTATTACAATTCAACTAATATATTCCTAAGTGTTCAATATATTTAACAATAATTCATCCTGTATAATTTATTATTTGTAAAATTAATAACGTACCATAAGATGCTCATAATAAATGATTATATAAGCAGTGACATCATTCATGTTTGCGAGAATAAACCGCTAATGTTTACTTCAAATTTATAAGCTTACATTCTTTAAATACAAAATGACAGTATGAATTATTTTCACAGTTCACTATGTTCAATGACTTGAATAACGGTTTAATGATTATTTATATGAATTTCTAGACATCGTCTAATCGATCATCTAAAAGATTAACCATATTGTAAGCAACTACGATATTATAAAAGCTCGATGTAATACATTTCAAGTGTTTCACTAATTTGAAATCCTTCGAAAAATTTTATCAATCCGTAATCTATAACTTTAATGCACTTTTTCATGACTTTTCATTAAATATATTATTTCTCGTGTTTAAAAAGCAGAAGTAAACATAAATTCATATTTCATATTATTTGTGACGAATTTATGAATAATTGGACATGGAATATAGTCATTGCTATATTTATATTAAAAACAAATGTTTATTAAACAAATGTTATATATTATAAAAGTAATATTGAAAAATAAGTGTATGGAAATTGGTTTTATAATATTTATTAAAAAAAAAAAAAAAGAGATAAAGTTTCTCAAGACTATTAGATCAATAAGACTATTAGACAAAGCAATTATAAAGATTTTACATCATTTATAAATTATTTTCATAAAAATAGCGAGAGAATGAACTTTTTTTTTTTCATCGATTAGCTTCAGAAGAATAAGCATATAAGCTATTCGATATGTATTTTTACCACGAAATGTTATTTGCCAATGTCTCGTAATTAGTGCTTAACAATTAAATTATTAAACGTGCTTCTCAACTTGATATAGTTAATGGCTACCTTATAAGACCCAGAGCTTGCGATAAATTACTTTGGAAGCTGTGCAGTCGCCAGGTAGGTCGATGCATCGAATAATACAGCTGCTTTATCAACTAAGAATCTCGTATAAAAATTACATTTTTCTTCATAAAAGATTATTTATATATTTAACAGCGATTGGATTATAAATTTAAAAAGTATTTATCTATTAACGGTATACTTTTGTAGACTATTGTATTATACTAACAATTGTAATATAATACAATTAAACTGTTTGCTAAAATTTTTATAAAAATTTTATTATTGTTAAAACTTTTGGAGAATTTAATGTAACTACTAATGGCTTTAATGGTAATTTAATTAAATAATATGATTGTCGAAAAGTAGAAAAGAGCTTTGCCAATAGGATTACAAAAATAAGGCAATAATAATGGACCATAGTTATAGTATTACGTTTAAAGAATTTGTTTTTGTAAAAATTATGGAGGCGAGGGTAATGGCGATTGTTGTAATTATTTTCGGCCGTGCAATATGTTGTTACGTTACCTACAAAACTGTTGCTATCGATTTCTAATAAAGTACTCATTCTGGAAGTTAAAGGCTATTGTACTCGCGTAAAAATAAAGCTTTAATTTACATGAAAAATCACTACGCTCAAAATAAATTCGGATAATATAGCCTGGACATTAAATATTATAATCGCATATATTGTATTTATCATCAAATTATATTATTATGAAATAATAATAAATGTATATATATATATATATATATATATATATATTTATTCTCTATTTGTTAAAGTTATTGTTAATATATAGCCATTTGTTTATATTAGAATTTCCTTTGCTTTAACAAATAAATGAGAAAAAAAAGTTACTTTATTATTTATCTGCTTTATTTATATCACTTTTTATATCACTATTTCAGCAGATTAATATATATTATAGAGTGGGATGGAAGCAATTTGAGATTATCATGATCTATTTTAGAATACACGAATGCAGAAAGGTTCGGGTATGCCCTTATTTTCTAACAATAACTTTACGGATGCGTATATACGCATTCCAGTTGTACGAAGACTATTCTTCATTAATTATAATATAAATTATTTACCATACGAAATGTGCAAATCATAAAATAATATTATAATAGTATAAATATAACAATATAATGTAATGGACTATAGTGATAAATGCAACAAATGAAATATACGATTTATATAACAACAATCATATGTATTTCGGATTATTAAAATTACATTACGTAATTTACTAATCATAAAGGAAGTATTAGAAATTATATTTAAAAATTTTTAATTTCTTATGACAAGTCTGAAATGAACTTACCATCATAGCAACAATTTAAATATAGTCAATAATATTACTTCGGTTGACTCATAAATATTACTAATACTTAAACTGATTTAATATTGTATTATAATTGAAAGTTAGTTTAATTGGTAAATAGTATCTGATAAATTAATAGTGCATCGATAAGCCTATTAAATGTAATTATTTAAAAAGATATTAATTTATTAAAATTATCAAGACATCTTTAATTGTATTTATTGCGTTCTCATTTCTATTAAAAATGACATTATTTTCTTTTTGTTTCAAATAATGATACTGGCAATTGTTTAATTTTCTTCTTACACTAAACATTAAATAGCATAATTAATATATTATAATCGTTTATTTTTATCGATCGACGTAAAGGCCTAAATATTTGTAAATTCGATAGAATTGAAGTGAATCAGTGAATAACCATCGCAGAAATTATTAAACCAATCGTACATGGGTCATTTGTTGATACATTGCATAATTCGATATATATATATATATATATGCATAATTGGTAGATATATCTTTGTTTATATCACTGCGAAAGAACGTCTTTAGAATATTAAAAAATGATAAAAGAATGTTAATATTAAAAATTTAGAAATTATATCAAATGAACAGAACGATTAAAACTTATCGTTTTCTTATTGATAACATTGAATTTAAGCTCATTACGTATTTACGATTTATGAATAAATTTTATCAACAGCTTTTTATCACATGTAGCAATAAATTACAAAAATCATTTTGGTAAAAAGAATATTTTAGAAATTCAGGCCGGTCGTTTGTAATTCAACATAAAATTATGATAGATAAATAAGCTTATGATGAATAAGCGTCTATAATATAATTATTCGTGTCTTTTGGTTTTGTAATTTTTCTCTCCCCTTGTTCATTGCATAAAGATGCTTCTTAGCATCGATGACGATGGCCAGTAATGCATCATCTTAATTACCTCGTTATAACTCCCCTGCAAAATCAGTTGGATTTTCTTACAACGTTAGATAGTCAAGTGACTATTCTATCTGCTATCTCAGCATCCTTGTAACATCTGCCTCAGCTCCGAATAATTATACGCAGCCTAATTAATATAATTCGGCTAAAATAATTACTCTCGAAAGAATCTATGCCTTAAGGACTCATCTCGTTGTCGTGATAATTGGAGAATGAAAGAGAAAAGAGTGGACGTGTGCAGCGGCGAGTAAGCCGTAAGCCACAGGTTGCGCGTCTTGCTCGGTTTGCCTCGATGCTCGAAAAATCCAGAATAGGCGTTCTGGAAGGTCTGGAAGTGGGGTCGAAGTGCTCGCCGGATCGAAGAGTGGATTCGAGATCCGGCACGCGAGGTACCTTCGTGCTGGCGTCACGCCGTCTGCTAAGGTCGGATTCTGCGCGGGAGGAACGATCCTCGCGATGGGTTAGTGATAGCGGTGGTGTGTGTGTGTGTGTGGGTGGGTGGGTGGGGGGGGGGGGGCGACCGTTAAATGCGTTCTCTTCTAGCGTGGAAACGTTTGTTCTCAGCCATCCACGAGCTATTATCTTCCTTAGCCGATGCTGTTGATTTTCAAAGCTACTCCCTTCACACCCCAACCTCCCCCACCGCCACTCGTTTCGCCGTCTCATTGTAGAAGTGTATTTTTTCCCTTTAACAGCGTCACGAGTATGTGATAGACGATTAAATATAAGCGCATCTCCACTTACTTATACAAATATTTTCTTGCTTTCTTTATTGTTGTGTATTTGGCATGAACCGAGGTCGTTTATCCTTTGAATTGCCAGATCGCGAATTAAAATGGGTCGATTATAGTTTTCAAATAAAAAATTGCTTCACTGCTAGTTAGCGTACTTTTCCTTTTACCTCGAGCTATGCCGAACCATCGAATCGATAACTTTGAGAACTACGTTTGCTGCCGTCGTAAAGATAAAGGTATTGGAACAATGGTGCGTTAGTGAATTGGTAATGTTAACCGAGTTTGAGCGATTGCCTTTAAATATAAATATTCGAATGTAATTTGTCTTTCGTTGCTACGATAATTTAAAACGAGCAATTTAAGTGTAAATATTAGGGTATATTTATCGATAGCATGACGAACGAATAACAACAGTGCACATCGTCGTAGTTGTTTGTTTTGTTTTTTTGTTTTGTTTTTTTGTTTTTTTGTTTTTTGTTTTTGTTTTTGTTTTTGTTTTAACAAATAATTTATTCAGTCTCGCTGAAATACCTCGAATTTAATATATACGCGGAATAAGACGGAAATAATTGCTTAGCAAAGCTGCCACTGAATGTATTGGATTTTCGGATTATTGATAGAACGGGCCACGGATAACTTGATAATCAGTGTAAATTACGAATGCATTGTTGTTAAAGTTAGATGGCGAATTCGGCAACTCCTGCTCACACCGAAACACAGGAAAACCGAGAAATAATGTCTCGAATAATCCAATAGAGAAGAAGAATAGAATAAATATACGACAAGAGTAAATATTTTTGATTATTGAAAGAATTGAAATGCACGAAAAATGCAAATTAATTAATGGCAATTATGCATACTTATAAAATTAATCATTCTTATCAATTATTATAGTATATAAGATGTTTAAAACGATATATTTCTTTCTCATTAGATTTATAATCTTAATAGACAATTCACTATTAATTTTAATACGCATTAACGATCTTAATAATTGCAATACATTTTTCAACAATAATAATATCTTACAACTATCTTATGCCGATAAATTATATTGACAATATCGTTATCAATTAAATTTTAAATCAATTAAAATGTACGTTTCGCGATATTTCCGATCGGTACAGACTTTTCATTTTACCTAAAATTTATAAATCTTTCCATGCCACAATTTTCTATAATTAATTAGTTAGTATGAAATGTCTGAAATTATTTTATAATAATAAATCACGACGAAGAATATTAATTGTTTTACGTTTCGTTATTTAATTTAATTTTCATGAATTTCATGCATTCAATGGAATTTTTCTTTCCTTATTAATTGTTCCACTCTTTTTTTGTTTTAATTTTTAAGATGGATGTTTACTAATCGTCAAAGAAATTGATGTGATATATATATATATATATATATACTCACGGAATAAGTATTTATCTCTTTATCATTCTTAACCCAATATTAGAAATTACAAGGTTATAAGTTTCATAATTAATCGAAGAATCTTTAGCGATTAAAATTTATCTTTTCAGATAAGTGTGACTTATCATTGCGGGCTGTACAAGAAATGCCGATCTGAAAATAATAGTGCGGACGTGACAGGCGAAGAGTGAAAAAAAAAAAACAAGAAAAAGTTTAACCATGCATGGGGTAAGTTGAGAAATCCATCATAATGCCAATTATTGTTCAAGTTTCAAATTTTCAACGATGCACTGACTTTTTGCGTGCGTTAAAGTCGTAGGACTTTGAAATCATTGGATTTATAGGTTATAGATGAAGGGTAGTATTGAAAAATAAAGTGCCAAGCTATCAAATCAGTAGGATTGTCCTTCTGTTATAGATGACGTTTCACCTGGGTTTCAAAGAAACCATTTTATTCGATTCATGGCGAACGACGGATGTTTATGGCTTACTTGGTTCCATGATTGGAGTAGTGCTATTGGGAATGATATACGAAGCTATAAAAAATTATCGGTAAGGTAATGTAACGTTGGAACGGAATAGCGTGCGGAATATAATTAATAATTAATGCTTATTATAATTAACACGAGCTTATTTCAGAGAGTATCTTAACGTTAATAATGCAATACATTATCCAAGCAAATTATTATCGAGAAAGTAAGTTGGCGAGAAAGCCGTTGAATTTTTCGGTAAATCGAAGAGATGGAAATAATATCGGAATCGCAATCTGTTTTCAGAGTCATGATATTCTCGTCCGTACATCTATTACAAACACTTCTACAAGTCATTCAATTAGTGCTCGGCTTTTTCCTAATGTTCATTTTCATGACGTACAACGGTTATCTCTGCATCGCCGTCGCTCTCGGCTCGATGTTTGGCTACTTCATCTTCTCGTGGAGTAATGGAAGATGCGACAGCTGCTGCTCATAAATTGCCAACGAACGTCGCTAATTTCAGCAATTATTCCCAGTCTTATCGTAATAACCGCAAGAACTTTCTACTAAACGCTCTGCGATTCCTTCAAGTTTACGACCTGGAGTACATATTTTATGAGGAAAAAGGCTTTCGGGATTGGATTGACGAGTTGAATATTGCTGTTAAAGTCCACTGTTACTATCTCGGTGTACTTTGTTATGCCAAGACAATGGTGCTTCATTAAAACCAGGAAAAGTTACTTTACTCCCTAAATTGTCGTTTTTTTGTTGTTTTTTTTTTGTCTCTCTCTCTCTCTCTCTCTCTCTCTCTCTCTCTCTCTGTTTTGTATTATAGTCCCAGTGTTGTAGTTTTACATTTTGACTGTTAATATTTTAATAGTTAAATTTAGTAAGAATAAAAATGAGTATTTTTAGGCTTTGAAAAATTCAGGCGAATTATCTTTCACATCGCCATACTCGATGTACTGTTTATTTAAGAATGGCAATTTTTTATACTAAATTCCATTCAACTTCAACAACCACTTGATAAATAACTGTACAAATATCGCTAAGAACAATAAACAAGTTTTCTTTTTTTTTTTTTTTTACTTAAAAAAGATGTTTAAGTGTATTATTATTTTCTAAGGAATGATTTTTCTTTTTCTTCTTCTTTTTTTATTGTTTATAAGAAGAACGTTACATAGAGGTAGCAAAAGCATGTGAACGCAGAAGAATCGCCGAAGAATATTGAGAGATTATTACGCGCAATGCTCTAATCTTCAATATGACTGAGACAACAATTTAAATCTAATTTTTCGTTATTTGTATTTTTAGATACTTTGAGTGTATATAATTAAGTTAAGAGTATCCTTGGGTGACAAATTATATGCAATACGATTGACCTAAAGGTGCATGGATGTTCCTTCAAAATATAAAATGATTTCTATTTGGTTATAATTTTTATATTCGATTTAAAATTATGCCAGTTTTATATAAATTGATGAAATATTACCGATACGATTAATGTACACGATTAATGCCCAGAAATATATGAATTATTATAATTATTGCATAATATTATTTTTATTTACAAACTGACCTATTCAATTCCACCTATTTTAAAGACTTTAATACAATGCATTTTTGCTATCTACTTGGTATTTGGAATTATATTTTTCCTTTTTTTATTTTATATTTATTTAATATCTATTGCAATAAGCCAAAAGATTGTCTCATAAGATTGTCTTATGCCAATGACATTGTTTTATAAGGTAGCATATGAGATATTAATATTTGCTTTATCATATTTGTGCATTGATTTTGCAAATACGACAATGAAATTAATCTCGCCAAGAAGCACCAAGAAAAATGAATTCCATATTGTAAAATTCGCTTTAACGATCAAGTTATAAAGCTTATAGCATTTGGAGAAAGTTAAAAAAAAAAAAAAAAAAAAAAAAAGAAAGAAAATCATTAAATCTATTTAAATATTTCATTTTACTAACGTAAATCTTCAGGCTTAATATGATTATTTATTGGTAAATTCATAATGCTTACGTCACATTAATGCCTCGATAAAAGTCTAAAATTTATTTATAAATAATGCCCGATTTTACATCATAGACTATTTTAATATAATTAAACAAATAATTAATTAAACTAATAACTTTGAAATATTATTCATATGTACAATATATGATGGAATTATTAATCTGCTGTCTATTGTTGACCAAATCGTTCGTCTATTCGCTAAGACAAGAATTTGGCTGTAAAAAAATTCGAAAAGACTATGGATTATCTACGGAATTGAAAACCATGACTTTTTTCCCAATGATTTCTCGATCGTGCAATGATACGATTAATTTAATCTTGACTTAAGTTAATCTGTTCTTTGCATTTAATATTTAATTAATTGTCAGCATCGATATAATGCTTAAAATTAAATGAAAATAAAAAAATAATAAGAAAAATAAAAAAACAACTTAGCAAACGATAAGCATAATCTTATCGCTACATCTAAATTTATTTGCCTTCTGAATTTTTACACACCGTCACTGATAGCCACTAATTTAGATAGAAATAGTTCATTGTCCATCGATAAAATTGCTGGGCGCGGCGCATCGTCTGGCATAAACAAAAATAGCTAAAAATAGGAATACAAAGGACTGAGTGATTCAATTGACTCTCGCAAAAATTTTTTTACAATGTCGAGCAGTACTCAGAACATCTGCTGCGACGTAAGATCGACGAAGCCCAAAACACAGTGTGAAATTATATTCGGCTGGGACAAGTTCAACGCCATATGTCTGGCCATTCTAATGGTCTTCTTTACAATTTGGTGCGTCGCGTATTTCATAGTCTATGAGCCTCTTCCCAATCACCATCACATTATGAAATCAAGGACGAACGATGACAACTTCTAAAATATCCGACATTCGTCAAGATCAGGTAGATTTCAATCTTTAATCTCTATCTTTCATTCGTTTAAGCCCGAGTATCTTAATTAGCTTGAAAATATGAAAAGCGTTAAATTTAAGTTTACAGATTTCAGATTCATATGGCGTTAATGATTTGTGTGTCATTCTGCGATGACGCCCGTTATTTATAAGATCTCAGTTAGGGATTTAAAATTAACTTTACTATTAAAGTTTCATTAATCACTTATTCAGAGAACTAAAATATATTTTCATAGTGCTTATAAATAATTCTTGAAGCTCTTCTTTTTAAATTAAAAATAAAATGTTTAAAAATAAATTAATAAAATAAAATCACTATGTGAATTCAATATATATATATATATATATATATATATATATATATATATATATATATATGTGACTATTGTAAATTTAGAAAATTTAAAATACTCAGAAATCATTTATTTATAAGTTTTCTATTAGCTTTTCTTGCAACTTTTATTTTATTTATATATATATATATATATATGTAACTTATTATTCTATATTGTATGTCAGCACATACTGCATAAATATTTTTAAATTCTATTCAATATTTATGATTATGAATTATTGGAAATTTTAAATCTTATGAAATAAATATTTTTTCCTAATATACATCGTGACATAATATTATAAAGTAACAAAGATTTAATTTTATATATATATATAATAAAATTCTTATAACGTATATCATATCACGATACAGGTAATATTATTGTATACGAGTATTATTTCCATTAATTATATATAGAAATAATTAACAAGTTCCTTACTTTTATATGTGGTTATAATGATATCTGAAGTTTTCTAGGTTGAAAGAAGACTGGATGAAAAGCAAATTGATATAGAGGATATGCAAGGAAGAGTAAAGAAAATCGTCAAGTTCAAGGAAATAAACTTGATACCGAAAAGATTTATATACTAGTCAATATTTTTAACATTTCAGATTTATATATATATATATATATTTTTGTTTTTGTTTTTGTTTTTGTTTAAAGAAATATCAATTACAAGGTATTAGTGAATTCATAATAAAAAAAAATCTTCTAGAATTTTATGTACACAAGACATTGCTATAAAGATTTTAAACGTTTTCTGGTATAATAATAATTAGTATTTTATTATTTATAATGACATTGTTACGAATGTTTTTAATAAATAATTTGTAATTCCTTAGAATTTCAAAGCAAAGCTTAAATTTTCATTAATTCTTTCATTTATAATAAAACATTTCAAACTTATGGTTTATAAGCTCTGTAGGCTGGGTATGGAATATTCAGAATTCAATATTTCATGATCTAAGGACACACTGTAGCAATATATTTTTTCATTTATACTTTTGAATTTGCTGAATTTTCAACTATTTATTACCTTAAATTTACTGAATTCGTTAAAACATAATAAACTAATATATTTTATATTTAGTCTAATATCTTTCTCACCTTGGTAACAAAATTAATTCCTTTAAAATCAGATAAATTTTCTTATAAATGCTCATTACGAATGGGAATTATTTAAATAAAAACTTTATAACATACGAAAGAAGCACGATTATATAATACACGTTAATAAAAGTGAATTTTTTATTTGAAAAATTTGATATACAAAATTCTGAAGTTAATATATTAATAATAAATTATTGGACATCTTGTAGACAAAAAATGATGAAGAATATAAAATATTAATATTTGTTTTAAATTCTAAAAATTTCTGCAAATAAAAATACATTGATTATAGACATATAAATTATATCGTTTCTTTACAAAAAGTAATTCTATGAAGAGTAAAATGAAATTAACAATGATACGTTTCTATCAGGTTTGTGAAAAAAAAGAATAAAAATTATTGCATGCAATATTTTGTTTGATAATTTATCTTTTTCTACGACACGTTAATATCATTTTAATTATTACTATTTTTCAAATTATAACTTGTCTGAAAAAATCAAATTATATAGAATATGTTTTGTAAAATATTTTTAATTTATATTAGTTAAGATTTTAGTTAGAGATTTTGAGTTAGAAATTTAATATCTAAAATATAATATAAAAACAATAGTATTATTACTATTAATTATATTGTTAATTATATCACGTATTGATTTAAATATTCATTTGTTAAAATATAACTATACAAACTTATTATATACAAATTACATTTAGTTTATCTTTTTTTTTTCTCATTTCTGGCTATATCCAATATTCGTCATATTGAATCATGTTTTCATGAATAAAAAAAAAGAAAAAAATGTACAACTTTTGATTGAATTATAATTTTTTCTCAACAACTATTGTATATAAATTGTTATAGATGTATATTATTTTTATTCAATGTATTCATCGTTCTCTCTCTCTCTCTCTCTCTCTCTCTATTTAATTGTGCATTTCATATTTTTAAAATAATACGGAAAAATGAAGTTATTTAGAATTTACATGCTTCATTGAAATATGTTTTGTATTTTCTATTTATTTGTTTTTTGATATTATTATTGAATTATTCTGAAAATAATCCATTCGATTTAAAAGTCTAAAAAATAATATTTAAACTTTAAAGAATAAAAATTGAACGCTAGTCTGATTTATTGATTATAAGTTTATTTTAACGGTACATTATATTATGATTTCATAAATTTTTACATTTATTTTGATTAATGCGTTTGAGAAACTATAGATTAAAATGCTTTAAATTGTGTATACATTTGCGATTACGATGGAAATATTTATATCTATGAAATTCACTTTTCACAAAAAAATTATAATTTATTATAAATACAAAAAACTAATGACAACGTTATTATAATGATCTTTTTGAAATTACCGAGAGTTAATGCAAACTAATGGCTTCCC